TATATATATATATATGTCAATTAGAAAAGGTAGCTATCATTGTGATATTAAAACAATTAGGATAATGTTGGCTAATAAAATATAATTAGTGGATGGTTTAAAGGAAATATAAGGGGAAAATTGGAGTATAGGGTCAAAATCGATGGGCAAGAGTTTATCCACAAGTTAGGGAGGTTAGTTGGTTTTGCTTTGGTGGGCCAACTTTCGAAGAAAATTTCTAAATAATGTGGTTATTGTTAGGACATCAATATCATAATAATTAATCAAATTAATTGCATTAGCATTTCCTTAAGAAAATTTTAGGTAGGATTATAATTTTTTTCTTTTTAAGTATTTTTTATGAAATATTTTAAGTCGCTCGTTATGACATATTAATTAATCAAAAGAAGTACATATTAGAGTTGTATTTTTCTATTTTTTGTGATTTGCTTAAATAAATATGAAAATTGACTATGAATGATGCACAACTAAAAAAAATAGTCATTGATATGTCCTCCTTCGTTTGATGATTGTGATTTGCACATTTGTTTGAGTATTTTTAAATAATCATATAAATGGGTTTAGTTGGTGGTTATTTGTTGAAAGTAATATATATATATATATATTGATTGGTTAAAAATTAAATAATGAATTTTTTAATTTGTAAACTAAACTATATCCATTTGTTAGAGTGAAATGATAATTGAGATGGACATTTAAGAGATAATTAATAAAAATCATTTGATACAATCTATAAAATATCAGTTTTTAATTTTTTTTTAAACAAAATAAAAAACAAAATTTTTTATTTTAATATATTTTTGGTATATTTTTTATTAATTACTTTTCCAATAGGCGAGCTCATGAGTTAACGAGTTAGGACATGTTTGAGCTTGGCTTTTAACTTATAGAGCTCAGTTCATGAGCCATTTATCAAGTTGAGCCCGAGCCCGGCTTGCTCTAACACCCCTTAAATTATCAGTAAATTTTATGGTGCAGTGTATGTATGTATGTATATATCCATGCATCTCTCTCTCTCTCTCTCTTTCTATATATATATATATATATATATATTATGACGTGCATATGAAATTATTGTACTATATATTTTTGGACTATTTAAAATTCTAGCGGTGATAATTAGAATTAAATTGGTGAACGGGCCTTTTGGGCGGGCCGTAGGTTTCTCCCAATGGATAAAGCCTTAGTGTTTAGGCCCAAATTCATCTAGTTCAGATGGCCAAAAAGAACAGCTTTGAAACATATAACTCCTAAATAAAATCAAAGTTGAATTTTAATACCACGAATTTTTTATTCGAAAATGAGGAAAGGAGGTGAGCAAGCGCTCAATGGAGTTGGGCTTAGCTAATTTTGATTTTAGTTATTTATCTATCTTTTATTATTAACATAATTTTAATTATATACATAATACCTTTTTTTAAGTCACTATATATATATATATATATATATATTCCACCTAAATTATTCGCAACATCTAGAAAGTTACCATTTTAATCCTTAAAATACAATACACATTTTCAAGCATAAATAATATGGTATGCGTGCAAAAATTAAAGTTCAATTATTATACATCTACTATCTAAATACATAGGAATTGAGGTGTGTGAATGTAAATCTTCCTTTTCTTCTTTGGTGACTTAGAGTCCAATTAATGGAAACAAGGAGTTTCTAATTCTACTAATTATTATAATAAGACGATAAATAAAAAAAAATCAGAGGAAAAAATAATAAGAAACTGATTGAGATTGAAATTTTTCCTCAATTGTACTCATAAATGATTCAATAAAAGTATTTCCTACATAAAAGTATAAATATCATTTTCTCAATTAACTTTATCTTAATAACATTCTTTAATGATTTTTATGTAAATTTATTAGGGAGTGATAAAACTCTTTTCTAAAGGGAAGGAGTGTCTAAAAAATTTGTTGTTCGCGAATAGTTTGTGTTCGGTTCGTCAAGTAACACGTGTTTAAATAGTTGGTTAAGTAAGTGAGTCGAAAAAAAACAAATTTTATAAGCTAAAATTATAAACAATTCTTTGTTCGTTCGTGCTTATCTCTTTTTAGTTCGAAATAAGAAGATTATACATTCTAGCTCATGTAGGCAAGTGATTCAGTGATTTTTATTGCATAAGAGTGATGCAAATTCGAATCCAACATTTTATATTTATTTTTCTAATTAATTTGAACAAGTTAATTTCAAGTTGAATCCATGTCGAACATGAAAAAGAATATGTAAATCAAGTCGAATACAAACATACTGTTTACTAACAATTTCTAACACGAGCCCATTTGATATGAGTCAAATATAAGGCAAGTCTGAGCTCATTCAAGCTCAACTCATTTACACCCTCTACTGATTGGGCCATCTTCTAGAAGCAAGATAAAAAGAACAAAGAAAAAATAAGTTTAATAAAATTCTCCACTTTTTTAATTTTGAATTTAATTATCTAATTTTCAAATATTTCCACATGATTAACGGCATTAAAGAAGAGGCGACAGCCTACATGTTGCGCATGCAGCATTTGGAGGCATCAGGACAAATATATAATTACAATAAAAAAATAATAGAAATATCTAATAATTTAATTATACTGTTTTAAAATTGTATAATATAGTACATTATTTTAATTATAATTAAAGATAATACATAAAGCATGATTTTAACAATTAAGCTATTTTACAAGTCGATTTTTTTATTTAAAATCGATTTTCAAGAAAATTATTCTGATTTTTAAATAAAAAAAATTGAATCATTCAAATTTAATAAATGTATTTTGAATAACTAACATATAAATAACCGGAATTAAAATATATTAAATGGCAATATGTTTGAGAAAAAGAGTTGATATTTATAAATAAGAAGATTTACATAAATGCCACTCAATTTCTGCATATTTATATTTATAACATTTAAACTTTAATTATTTTTTACATATATTTTACATATCTAAAGATTTTTTTTATTTATAAAAAAAAGAGATTTAATTTTAATATAAATTGGGAAGAGATATTTAGCCCCTTAAATAATAGTAAAAAATATTAAATAATATTAAACGCCTAATTAAATTGTGTTTTTTTTTTATTTTGAGCCCAGAGAAAAAAAATAATTTTTTTCCTACTTCTGAATATTTATCAACTCATTAACCATAATAATATATATTTGGATCTTAGCCACATTTATATCAATAAATATAATATTTTTTTTTCCAAATTTCTATGAAAAGAGATATTTTCTTAAAATTATATAGTAGACAAGAGATGAAGATAATTGGTTCATTTTACCCATTTAAGAGTAGGGGCATTTACACACATACCACCAAATTCTTATGTAATTACATATAGGGCACATAAATTATGCTTTTTATATTTATACCACTAAAATATTT